AATTAATTAGAGAGAGTATAACGTGCTATTGGGCTAAACAAAGACCACAACAGGGCCCTGGGGCAGGGGGGAGGTTAGCTATATACACACAGGGTGTGTATGACTGGCTAACCTCTGATTAATGTTAACCACAACACGTGGGAGTTGTTTCTTCCCTCCCATCTGAGGTCATCAGAAACACTGTCAGTCTGGAGCACGGCAGCGATGACAGCCACACCCCGCGAACAGGGACCAGATGGTGCCGCTTGCGGTGACAGAGTAAGCAAGGCCGCCGCGAGCGGCACAGAGGCAGGGGATCTGACACCTAGGCTGCAAGAAAGGATCTGGGTTAGATCAAACGGCTAATTAAGGGTGGGGAAGACACAGATATTGAAGTGAGAAATGGAAGTTAATGAGAAAAGAAAATATAAAACATGATGTGTACATGTTGAACATGTTCCACATATATGGAATCCATGTGATTGTGCGTTTTTTAGAAAATGCTCCTTCTTTTTATTATTATCAGGTAGAAGGCTTTGGGCAAGTTTACTTTTTTAAATTATCTGCTTTTCTGTATATAACCATAGGTTTTTCTGGGATAATTTTTCCCAGAATATCATCTTTGTTTTCAGAATAGACCAATTTTTTTTTTTAATTCTTTAAATTCTTAGCATTTATATTGTATTTTGTTATAAAAGCAAAATCAAAATAGTTTTTCTTCTTGCAGGTCTTTTTAGGGTTATCCATCAAAAATTCACACCGGTCCCTGGCTTTGATTTTTAATTCTTCCTGTTCCATCATCTTCTTATTATATCCCTTCTCCTGATATCTTTTAATAGCCTGAAATTGTTCTTCAGAAATCTTAAAATCAGAACAATTTCTTCTCATGTGTTTTATCTGTCCTTTGGGGATATTGCTCAACCATAGGGGATGGTGGAGACTTGTATTTTTTATAGCTGTATTACAATCCCTCTTTTTGAAGTTTTTAGAAGGCCCTCCTCAACATATAAATTCAGATCTAAAAAAATCTATCTGGTCTTGTTGGATAGTAGAAGTTAATTTCAAATTATTGTCATTGGAATTAATAGAATCTATAAACTTGATAAGACATTCACGCTTGCCTTCCCAAATAATAAGGACATCATCAATGTAGCTTCGCCATAGGACAAGGATCTCCCCAAGACAAAGTCCCAACCCAATGTGCCTAGATTCCCAATGGGAGACATATAGATTGGCAAAACATTGGGCGAACCTTGTTCCCCTGAGCTCTTCCTGCTCAGCTCCCTCGTGCGCACCGCAATGAGGCCAGAGCCGGAATATGATGTCACTCCAACTCTGACATCACTAAGAGGCACGCGAGAGAGCTGAGAAGGAGGATTACAGCTCCCTCTCCACCCACCTCCACTGTTCGCCTGCCCGTGTCTGCCTGCCAGCCTCACTGGACCCCAAGGAAGAATCAACTCCAGCACTCCCAAAGGTAAGGAGGCTGGATTGATTAAACAATAACCCCTTCCAGACCTTGGACGTGCCAGGTACGTCCAACAAAAAACAGTTGTTACCGACCTTGGACGTACCTGGTATGTCCGCAGCATATAGGCACCATTTACTTAATCTGGACCGGTGATCTGGGTCGTGGGGGGCTGCAAGAGAGCCCAGCAGTCCCCCTGCAGCAGCTCCATCACTCCAGGGCCATGTAATTACCATGATCACATCGCTGCAATAGGAGTCTATGGAGCTGCCAGCAGTCCCCCAGCCACCTAAAATGTTGTAAAAAAAAAAATGAATTAAATATATTATACATATACTATATATGTATAATATTTTATAAAATAGTTAAAGCATTTTATAATGTATTATACATATATAATGCATATATTTGATTGCATTATAAGTGTACTTTGAGATATATACACATATATTTCAAAATACACTTATAATGAAATGATATACATGCATTATATATATATAATATATTATAAAATGCCTTAATTATTTTATAATATATTATACATATATAGGAAATAAAAGCATGTCTGTATATATATATATATATAAACGTAATGTCCCGCACTCACTGCTCCCGGTCTTGTCTGTTGCCCAGGTGCAAACTTCGACCTCCAAATATATAAATCCTTGTTTGAAGTGCACTCACAGGACTCAGAATTATTTCAAATCGTGCTGTTTATTCAAAGCATCAAATTTCCAGTAAATATATATACACTTATTAAATACATGTGTTATATGTATGTGTGTGTGTATATATATATATACATACACACACACACATTCTACATATAAATTTAACTATTAACTACATAATTATTTGATATTATTAAAGGGACACTATAGTCATCTGAACAACTTCAGCTTAATGAGGTTATTCAGGTAAGAACAAAAGCTCCCTGTAGCCTCTCTCATGTAAACACTGTATTTTCTGAGAAAATTGCCTTTATGTTGCCTTTGAATGAGAATTACCCCCATGATGGCATACCATTTGCAAAAGAAGACAACCCAAGGTATTGCAAATGGGGTATGTTCAGTCTTTTTTTAGTAGTCACTTAGTCACAAACACTGGCCAAAGTTAGCATTCATAATTGTTTTTTGCATTTTTAACACACTAACAAATATGCTAACTTTGGCCAGTGTTTGTGACTAAGTGGCTACTAAAAAAGACTGGAAATACCCCATATTGAATACCCTGGGTTGTCTACTTTAAAAAAATATGTACATGTGAGGTGTTAGAGATTTATGACAGATAATAGTGTTACAATGTCACTATTGATACATTTTAAAAATATATATTTTGAAACAGCAATGTCCTACTTGTACTTGTAGCCCTATATCTTGCAAAAAGAAGCTAAGAACATGCTAACATTGGGTATTTCTAAACGCTGGACAAACTTTAGAAACTATTTAGCATGGGTGTTTTTTGGCAGTTGTAGATGCGTAACAGATTTTGGGGGTCAAAGTTAGAAAAAGTGTGTTTAAAAAAAAAAAAATTCATCATATTTTATAATTTTTTATTGTAAATTATATAATATGATGAAAATAATGGTATCTTTAGAAAGACCATTTATGGCGAGAAAAAAGGTATATAATATGTGTGGGTACATTAAATGAGTAAGAGGAAAATTACAGCTAAACACAAACACCGCAGAAAAGTAAAAACAGCTCTGGTCCTTAACAGTAAGAAAATTGAAAAACGGTCTGGTCACTAAGGGGTCACTAAGGGGTTAAACAAAATTTGAGTGTGTTAGTGTGTGTATGTTAGTGAGAGTGTGTGTGTCAGTAAGTGTGTTTGTCTGTTAGTGAGAGTGTGTGTGTCTGTTAGTGAGTGTGTATGTGTCTGTCAGTGTGTGTGTGTATCTGTCACTGAGAGTGTGTGTCTGTCAGTGTGTATTGGTGTTTCAGTGTGTGTGTGTTTGTGTATTATATTTCGGTGTGTTTGTGTGTCAGTGTGTGTATATCTGTCAGTTTGTGTCTGTCAGCTGGTTTATGTGTGTGTCTGACACTGAGTGGGTATGTGTCTGTCAGTGAGTGTGTATGTATATTTGTCAGTGTGTATCTGTCAGTGAGTATATCTGTGCCTCCGTGTGTGTGTGTGTCTGACACTGAGTGAGTGTGTATGTGTATCTGTCAGTTAATTAATGTTTGTCAGTTAGTGTGTATGTGTGTCTGTCGGTGAATGTGTGTGTATGTCGGTAAATATGAGTGTGCGTAACTATGAATGAGTGAGTGTGTGTGTGTCTGTGAATGTTTAAGTGAAAGCGTGTGTTGGGTAAACATTGTATGTGACAGTGACTGTGTATCTGTCAGTGAGTATATGTTGGTGCATGCATCAGTGAAGGCTTGTCTGTCAGGAAGAGAAATCTAGAAGGGGGGGTGACCGGGGTGCCCAAGTTTTGTCATGCGTAGAGCAGCACAAAACCAGAATACACCTCTGGGCTCGGGTTCCGCTGATTGTCTTATTGCGGTCAGCTGATGCTCTCACCCATTCACTAAACTGGCTTGGAAAGAAACATATATTTTTTAAATCAGTTTAGTGCATGATGAGTCACTGATTGTCTCAGAACATCAGCTGACCTCACTCAGCCAATCAGAGGCACCCCTGCCTGATGGCACTCTGCGCTTCCTGCAAATGATAAATCAGAAGCCTTGTGCCACTGGAGGGTGGTTGAAATATTGTGATTAAAATATTAATAAATAAATCTTTAAGTACGTATCCCATCCCCTTATCTATAAGTATGGACAATGGAGTTGTGCCTTCTTTAAACTTTCCACACAAAAAACTAAACATATTCATTGCTATCACTTTTTTTGTCATTTTTAAATATGGATACATTAAATTAGAATAATATGAAGCTAAGATTGATGGGAATATATAAAAAGCAGTATGCATACAGCATAAAGATATCACAATTTCTCTTAATGATGTAAACTCATATAGCCATAATAGCCTTAATTACACAAGGCAGGACTAGAATTACATGCACCAGGATATCAAGAAATCATAGTCTGTAATCATATGAAAAATAAATTAAAGAACCAGTAAATGAATCCCAAGATATGCATTAATCAGCGATCTCTTTGTATGTGTTATTGAACTGATAAGAGTTGCTTTGATGGTGACAGGTTATAATTTTTTAAATCTGTGCAGCAGAGACAATGGCAAAACCACAAAATGGAGCTTCCGCGTCTGATGCTTGATCTTTGGTATGACCCCGCCAGTGACTTTTGACCTTTGTGTGCGATATTGATTGAATATAGCCATGAAGTCTGCCAGCACTCTCATTCGCATCATTTAGTCTAACTGATTTGACGTGTACTGCAATCATCATGTAAACTGTCACCAAAAATGGAAATTGAGATTTAGTTTGATACACTACTGTAGCGCTTTAATTTTTAAGCTAAGTAAGCTGTGTTGAGCTGGCAGCCACAAATTGCTTAAGGACTTACGCCAAGCCCGCTGTAGTGGTTATGATGCCAGGAGTACCATGGCTTGGTACCCCGGTAAGTGGACGCTAGACTGTGGGGTGGACCTCCATGTTATGCCACGGTTTGTCGCTGGGGCTGTAGCTGTGGAGGTACGCCATGCCAGTCCCAGGTTCTGGTTTCGTGAGAGGTGCATGCTTGTTGGGCTAGCCTGATGCTCCAGCTCCTGTGATTGTGGGAGCGAGTGTTGGCACCCGTGCCATGGGAGTCCCCCACCCGCCTCGTTGGTCGCTGGTGTCTGCATTGTTGGATGGCGGTTTTGGGTATTCGAGGCAGAGGCCCATAGTAGCGGCTTCGGGTTACCGGGCGGATCCATGGGGCCACCGCTTTCACCGCTTGTCCGCGGGTCAGGTCCGGGTTGCAGAGTATCGTCCAGAAGCTCTTACGGAGCCGATCAAAAGCCTCCAGGGGCCATGTCGCTGGCTTGGGTTTGTGTCCTTTGCTCTGGGTTGCCGTCTGCAGGCCTCAACGTGAAGCTGCAGTTTACGGTAGATTTAGCCTGGCCCTGGTGTGGCGTCGGTCGCTATAATATTTCAGGGGTTTTTCCCCAAAATGCCGGTCCGTCGAGTGGGAGCTCATGCAACACGCGTCAGCTCAGCTCAGAGTTCAAGCTCCGTCCTCTGTTTGCTAAGATTTTAAGTAGCCTTGGAAGAATTGAAACTATTTATTTTGTGTGTGTGTGTGGGCGCTGTTCCCTAATTTGTATTTTGTAAATATTTTGGTATAATATAACGATGATAAATTAATGTACCAGGATTGCTCACATCCAACTCCCATTTTAACTCTGTCGGTAGATCCATACCGGCATTATATCTGACACAACAGATATTCTTGCATTTCATATTGTAATGGGTTCACCTTTCCTGCCCCACACAATGTCTTGGAGAGAAATTATTACTAAAAAAAAAACTTGTGCTAGTGCAATGTTTTGTGTGTAGGAAATCGTCCTATTCTGTTATGAAACAAAAATAGGCAACTACATTACAATATTTTCAGAAAAGGGCAGTAAGAAAAGTCACACAAAGTTTTAATATATTTATTTAAAAGTAAGCATAAGTTACAAACCCAAAAAGCAGAATCATTATTAAAGTATAAGTGCTTGTCAGAAAAGTAAAAATAAATATAATTTGGTATATAATATACCAATGCCATTCATAGATTCAGTATCTATCCATAGAAATCAAGAAGAAGATCTGATCCAAATTGTTTATACATAAGAATCGCTTACATAGACACCCCCCCTTCCCTCTCTTTCCCATCATTTGAAATACACTCTATTCGCCTTTTCAAACCTTTCGCTGCTAACATTGCTGTTATTTACCGTCCCCCTGGTTCCCCTCTTCTCTTCCTTGACCATTTTGCTGGCTGGCTACCCTATTTCCTCTCTTCTAACATCCCATCCCTAATTCTCGGGGACTTCAATATTCCTATAAACCCACCTTTGACCTCTGCAGCCAATAAACTACTTTCAATTACTTCCTCCCTCGGGCTATCACAGTGGGCAAATTCTCCCACCCATGTAGCTGGCAATACCCTTGACCTAATCTTCACTTATGCATGTACAGTATCTAATATCTGCAACACTCCTTATCCTCTCTCTGATCACCACCTCTTATCGTTTGCTCTCACTTACCCCCTCACCCAACAACCTCCGCCTAACCAGCCTCAACTCAGGAGGGACCTTAATTCTCTTGATCTCCAACAGTTGTCAGCTGACATTGATTCACAACTGCTATCCATCCCTTCCCTATCCTGTCCTTCACTGGCAATCTCCATATATAACTCTACTCTTACATCTGCCTTGAACACTGCAGCACCACTCCAAACAAGCACCTCAAGGGGGACCCGCCCCCAACCATGGCATACTAAATCAACGCGCTACCTGCAAAGATGCTCCCGGTGTGCTGAACGCTCCTGGAGGAAGTCTCGCACCCAGTCAGACTTTCTCCATTATAGATTCATACTGTGTTCATACAGTGCAGCCCTTGCCCTTGCCAAAAAGTCCTATTTCTCCTCTCTCATTAGTTCATGTTCCCACAACCCCAGGCGTCTCTTTGACACCTTTAATTCTCTTCTTCGCCCTGCTGTGGCCACCCCCCAAACCAACCTTACTGCTGACAACTTTGCATGTTACTTCACTGACAAAATTGAACAGCTAAGGAAAAAATTCTCCCCTCCTTGCCTTTCTGTTTCTCAATCACACATTGATCATGCCTTTCCTACCCTTCAGACATTCTCCCCAGCCACTGACCAAGAGGTGGCTGCTCTTCTTTGCTCCTCTCGCCCCACCACTTGCCCGCTCGATCCTGTCCCGTCTCACCTTATCAGATCTCTCTCCGCTTGTCTCGTGCCTTCTCTAACACACATCTTCAACTGCTCGCTCTCTTCTGGCATCGTCCCTGCTGACCTTAAGCATGCCACTGTAGTACCTATACTAAAAAAACCATCCCTTGACCCGTCCACCCCCTCTAACTACCGTCCCATATCCCTGCTCCCTTTTTCCTCAAAGCTTCTGGAAAGACTCGTCTTTACCCGTGTGTCTAATTTCCTCAATTCCAACTCTCTTCTTGACCCCCTTCAATCTGGCTTCCGCCCTCTCCACTCTACAGAGACTGCCCTTATCAAAGTCACTAACGACCTAATCGCAGCTAAATCCAAAGGCCACTACTCCATACTAATTCTTCTTGACCTCTCGGCGGCCTTTGACACCGTTGATCATGCTCTCCTTCTTCAAACTCTGCAATCGCTTGGTCTCTGTGACTCTGTCCTCTCGTGGTTTTCCTCTTATCTCTCCCAACGCTCATTCAGTGTGTCTTTTTCTAATGATACCTCCTCCCCTCGCCCTGTCTCGGTTGGAGTCCCCCAAGGCTCCGTCCTTGGTCCCCTTCTATTTTCTCTTTATACTGCCTCTCTTGGCAAACTTATCACCTCATTTGGTTTCCACTACCACCTCTACGCTGATGACACCCAGCTATATCTCTCTTCCCCGGACCTCTCCCCTGCTGTCCTGCAACGTGTCACTGCTTGCCTTTCTTCCATCTCTGACTGGATGTCCTCCCGCTTTCTGAAACTCAATCTCTCAAAAACTGAGCTCCTTGTCTTTCCTCCTCCTAATACTGATCCTCCTCTTTCGCTCTCCCTTCAAGTTTGTGGTACCAACATCAGCGCATCCTTGCAAGCGCGCTGTCTTGGCGTCATACTTGACTCTGGTCTCACCTTTGAGTCTCACATCCAGCATGTTGCCAAATCCTGTAGATTCCATCTCAAAAACATAGCCCGCATCCGCCCCTTTCTTGCACCAGATACTACCAAGGAGCTTGTCCATGCTCTAATAATTTCCCGCATGGATTATTGTAACCCTCTCCTGCTTGGTCTTCCCAAAAGCCGTACTGCACCCCTACAGTCTGTAATGAATGCTGCTGCTAGACTGATTTTCCTCTCTAGTCGTTTCTCCCACACCTCACCCCTCTGCCAGTCCTTACATTGGCTTCCTGTGTGCTATAGGAGTCAATTCAAGGCACTAACTCACACCTATAAAGCACTGAACAACTCTAGCCCCTCCTATATCTCCTCACTGATCCACAGGTATGTCCCTTCTCGGTCTCTCCGCTCTGCCCGTGACCGCCTCCTGTCCGTTGTCCGCACCCGTACGGCCAACTCACGCTTGCAGGACTTCTCGCGGGCGGCTCCCTTCCTATGGAATAGCCTGCCTACCGCCATCCGACTCTCCCCTAGTCTTGCATCTTTTAAGAAGTGCCTTAAACCCCATCTCTTTAGGAAAGCCTATGGCCTCCAAGACTAACCCCTACCTCACTTACCTGTCTCTTGCCCTCCCCTAAAGGGCAGCCCACTTTTTTTTTTGATTGCACACTCCTGTCCTAATGTGTCTTACACCCCACCTCCTATAGAATGTAAGCTCGATTGAGCAGGGTACTCTTCAACCTATTGTTCCTGTAAGTTTATTTGTAATTGTCCTATTTATTGTTAAATCCCCTTTCATAATATTGTAAAGCACTACGGAATCTGTTGGCGCTATATAAATGGCAATAATAATAATAATAATAGTAATTCATGAATGCTAACACATTTGTTTGCATTTTAATATTTAAGCAAATCATAAAAAGCATAGAATGTTACGGCAGGTAAGAAGCATCAATTTTCTAAATACTTTCATTAGTCCCTGGCCTTATCGTTTTCCTGGCACTATAGTGCCCTGAGGGTGCCCCCACCCTCAGGGACCCCCTCCTGCCGGGCTCTGGGGGGAGGAAGGGGTTAAACTTACCTCTTTCTCCAGCGCCGGGCGGGGAGCTCTCCTTCTTCTCTCCTCCCTCTTTGACTGAATGCGCATGCGCGGCAGGAGCCGCACCCGCATTCAGCCAGTCCATAGGAAAGCATTCACAATGCTTTCCTATGGACGTTGGCGTCTTCTCACTGTGATTTTCACAGTGAGAAGCACGCAAGCGCCTCTAGCGGCTGTCAAGAGACAGCCACTGGAGGCTGGATTAACCCATTTATAAACATAGCAGTTTCTCTGAAACTGCTATGTTTATAAAAAAAAAGGGTTAACCCTAGCTGGACCTGGCACCCAGACCACTTCATTAAATTGAAGTGGTCTGGGTGCCTATAGTGGTCCTTTAAGTCATCAGAAATAATCAACCCTAAATCCCTTTCCTCAGATGTTGAGGTTAGGACTCTATCAAATATTCTGTACTCTGCCCTTGGGTTTTACGTCCAAGATGCATTATTTTGCACTTATCCACATTAAATGTCAGTTACTACAACTCTAACCATTTTTCTAGTTTACCTAAATCATTTGCCATTTGGCATATCCCTCCTGGAACATCAATCCTGTTACATATCTTAGTATATCATCAGCAAAAAGACATACCTTACCATCAAGACCTTCTGCAATATCACTAATAAAAATATTAAAGAGAATGGCTCCAAGTACAGATCCCTGAGGTACCCCACTGGTGACAAGTCCAAGCTTCGAATATATTCCATTAACTACAACCCTCTGTTGCCTGTCACTCAGCCACTGCCTTACCCATTCAACAATATTGGAATCCAAACTTAAAGATTGCAGTTTATTGATAAGCCTTCTATGTGCAACAGTGTCAAAAGCCTTACTGAAATCTAGGTAAGCAATGTCTACTGCACCACCCTGATCTATAATTTTAGTTACCCAATCAAAAAAATCAATAAGATTAGTTTGGCATGATCTCCCTGAATTAAACCCATGTTGTCTCTAATCTTGAAATCCATATGTTCAACAATCCTATCCTTTGATCAAGTCATTTTACTAAAATAACATTTAAAATGTTTACCTTCATATGTAAGTATGAGTACAAAATCCTAAAAAAGTTAATAAGAAAGCAAAACATGCTTTGTCAGATAAGACAATATTTTGGCTTCTTACAAGGTAATTCTGATTCTCATTTTTTGTATTAACTAAACTAAGTGCATTAGCGCAAATGTTTATATACCTTGTTAGAACAAGTCTGTAAAATGTTCAGCTTACATAGAAAGAAAAATTACAGAAACGAATACAATTCTAGCTCAAATGAGCCTTAAATTAA